ATTAAGGTTTCACTCCCATTTTGCTATAGTGGCTGTCTTTGAACTGATCAGTAAAAATACCGGGCAACTTATTTGCTTTTCCCTCCAGAGTTCCTTTTGGTGTAATTTTCACCAATTGTACACCTAAAAGGGAGCCTGGTAAAGGATGTCTACTTTACGAAGCTCGCACAACAACAAAATGTCAAAGCACTGCTGAATTAGTGCTACAAAAAAAATTACAAGAGTTAAATCCCAAAATGGCACTAGCTCAAATCATGACTCCAAGATGTGATACAAGTGTGATGATACAAACAAAAATGGGAAAAAGTCCTCAAGGCTCATTTGCTAGTTATCAATTATCTTTAACTGAAGATAACTTTAAAGTTTATTCTGACATTACTTCTGTTAGCAGGAGAGAACAGACAAATRATAAAATATCTTTAGACTCATTCCCCAGACTCCCCTTAAGAGTTAGTGACAACTTTCGAGCACCAACAGGCATTAGCACAGATGAACAGTTGTTGTTACAAGAAATAACAGTTAATGTTGATCTGTAAAATAAAATAGAACAAGCTACAAGGGAACAATCTAGCTCTGATGAATGGAARAAGCAAAGACGATTCAGAATAACTGCTTCCAATTTTGAGAGGGCAAAGAACAGAAAAAGGCAGCATGAATCCCTGGTTAAGGAGTTTCTGGATGCAAAGCCATTCACTTCAAAGTATACTGCACATGGACTGGACTATGAATCTACTGCACTAGAACAGTACAAGAAGTACATGACAACTATAGGTAAACCAGTGAAAGTTTGCAAATCAGGCTTGGTGGTATGTTTAGAATCTCCCTACCTTGGTGCTTCACCAGATGGTAAAGTAATAGATGTTGGATGTACTGATCCTTTTGGGTTTGTCGAAATCAAATGTCCTCAATCTAAGTTCTTTGTTACTCCACTAGATGCATGCTCGCATAATAATTTCTGCTTGGAAAATGTTCATGGTAAGCCGAAACTCAAGCGTAATCACAGTTACTATRCTCAAGTTCAAGGGCAAATGGGTGTGACAGGAGCAAGGTGGTGTGATTTTTTAGTATACACTAGCAAAGGACTTAGCATTGAAAGAGTTCCATTTGATCTCCCCTACTGGTTAGGTTTGAAGGAGTCATTGCGAAGGTTTTACTTCAAACACTTTTTGCCTTTTGCCGCTAAAAATAACTTCAGACAAAATAATTAAGTACTATTAGAAGTGTTTAACTGGAATRATAACATTTATCATACAAGTTGACGATCAATTATCAATTATATAGATTTATAAAATATTCAAAACTGTAAACATGACAAAAGTATTCATTGAGCAGGATTTGAGTCATATTATGGTTGCTAGTTTTGTCATGGCATACTTGATGTCAAAATTGTTGTTGTATTTATAGTTTTAGTTTGAAATGTATTGAGCAAAATCTGAATCATAACATTTGTTGTTTTAAATAGAGTTTCAGTTTGAAATGTACATKGAGCAAAATCGGAATCATGATATAATTGAGCAAGTTGTAGCCTGAATAATTGTCATTGCTATTAGTAAAAATATTTTCAATGAAATATATTATAATATAATTTGTATGGTACTTAGCTTACTAATAAACTGAAAAGAACAAATTCTTGTTGTTTAGCGATGGAACAAAAAAACTGTCAATAAAATAAGGTGGTTATTTATCATCCACGCTCACTATATAAACACATTTCCACGTTCATCTCTCGTTTACTCCGATGAAGGACTAACGTCCGAAACGTCAGTTTCATTTTTACRTACCATACGGTGTTACAAATTATCTATCTATCAACTGTCAATAAAATAACTTTATCTCACATTAGCACATGGTACTGTATTTAGTATATACATTCATCATAATAAAATAAACAGTTTTGTTGTCTCCCAAGAACATTAAATGTTATCATTCAATTAGATATGAGTGGTTCCTGTAAGTTGCACAAAAAAGCACAAACACTCCTTATCTGGTTCACAACTCCAAAGTTGCTCAGAGAGACTACTCCTTGCCAAATACGGTAGTTCTTGATCTTATTTATGGCCCTCTCTACATGTATTCTCAGGCTGGCAWTGGTCTGAGTTTTGATGACATCCTCAGCAGACAACTGTTCGTCGGAACCAAGGAAAGGTGGAATGTTAAGGCTCACACCAAGAGACAACAAATCCTCAATGTTGAAGCCTTTATCTGCCATAACTGAGTCATTTTCGTTGAACTGTTGTGATAAGAAACCACTCCTCTGGACTATTTCCCTGTCACTGATGCTGCCAGTGTATAGCTGGCTTACAAAAGTAATTGCTCCGCTTGGAGCAATACCAACCATGCCCTTCAAGGTAACATGGTTCTTGCAGCTGAGTCTCGTTTGTCGCCAAAATGTGAGCAGATATCTTTATGCACCACAGTTTTGCTAAAAGTATCTTTCCAAATTAAAAAATTAATGATATCATCCGGTGTCGCACAAGTTAARTTTGTCGGAGGGACTGCCTGTCCTAAGAATGCCGAAAATTCGGCCTCCAGGGCTGTCTTCTGTCTAGAGTAAGGGGTAGAACTTGCCCTTTCAACTAAGGCTTGTTTCCTTCGAAGAATCTCCTCCCAGTTAATAGTTGCTTTTAGGCATTGCCGACGGTTCACTATCTGTACTCGCCGTCTATATCCACACCTCTGGCAGAAATGAAAGTCCCTGTCATTGGGGTAGCTGCATTCAGGGCAGGAGACCTCTGGAACGAATAATCGTGGAACCAGAGGAAGGGCCTAAATGAAAGGGAGGGCATAAATTAGCATGGCCCTACGCGGAACACCCAAAGCTCGGTTTGAAGTCTTTGTAGCTGAAAACCCTGTTTAGAAGGAAATAGTACAGTATCTAGGCTACCTTTCTGTGCTAACTTCAGCTTTCCCCTGGACATTGAATTAATTACAGGCCACCATATGGGTAAAGGTGAGAGCTTTGGCACCACCATCGTAACCGTAGCCTTAGAAGACCGTATCAGTCGCAATAAAGGACCGACTAGCGAAAAAGGCGGGAAAACGTACGCATTTACTCGTTCTCCGTCGCAAATTGTGAGATCCTGG